GCGCTGGAATAAAAAGAGGCATTTTTATTCACTTGGACGACAGCATCTGAGATGTTAAGGGGGTGCTGTAGGATTACTAGTTAGATCAAGAGCTGCAGTCGCTATTTCAGCCACTCTCAGTCACCGCAACAGGCATGTTGAATACACTGAGTGACAATTATCTTGTCATTGCAAGTTGGACCCTCAAACGTGTTCCCAAATGCCAGCGGTAAGCCCCCGCCCCCACGGGAAAACGTCTCCAATCAAAGGACCTCTGAGCAGAGCCCAGCGAGGTCTGGCGAGAGCAGCACATACTTCACGGCGATTAACATCTCGGTTGAGCCTCCTCATCTGCAAGGGCGTCATCTGTTACTCGTTTTCTCTTTGGCCAAAGAGACCACATCCAGCGTCCCGAAGGAGAAGGCCGGGAATTCTTCCGAAAGCCCTTTTAGGAGAAGCCCAGTGAGAGGGCAAGTGAAGCTTCATTCCTTTTATGGCAGATGTCACAGCGAGAGAGGGCGCCAGCCAGCTCATCTCTGCCCCGGCTGGGCAGCCTGCGTGGCCTCACCCCCGAGCTGAATAAAGAGTTGATCCTAAGACCAAGGATGCTTTCAGTGACCGGTGGGGTGACAGGAGGGTCCAGCACCCCAGTTCCCCCCAACCCTGGAGCCCACCTTCACTCTCCTCTGGAGTCTCCGCCCCAGCCCCGCGTGCACATAAATCAAGCAGCAGGGTGGCTCAGAAATATGACGAATACCTTGGCTGGCTCCCGCTTGAACAGACAAGGGGGAGGAGAGGGATTCTAAAGTAACCAGGCCTGGGCTGCAAATGCAGCCAGAATTTAGTGTTCCTGGAGCTGGCCCCAGCTGCTCAGACAGAAGCTGCCAGGGGAGTCTTCCCTGGGGGCAGCCCCAGCTCTCCACGCTCCGGAGGAGAAAAAAGCTTTGGTGTCTGTCAAGAACATTATTCAAAAATTCTTGGACACTTCTAAGTCCTTGCTGCGAGCTTGGAGAGGGGGGTGGGGGAAGCTTTGCCTGGGCTGGGCTGGTCCTCGGGGATAGCCTGAGATTGGAATGCTGCTGTTCCCAGAGCTCTCCCCGAGGCGGGTGTGCCTGCGTGTTTGTGCATGTGCGTGTTTGTGTATGTGCGTGTTTGTGCATGTGCGTGTGTAGGGGCTGGGGAGTCAAGAGAGCCCACCTGAGAGCCCGCAGTTTTAAGTATGTTGCCAGCGTTCAGGTCGGGGCCAGCTCAATGCAGGGGTTGTTACTGTGCCCACCCTCCCCACCCCTCTCTGTTTCCTAGTTTAACGAGCTGCCCGTGTCTCTGGTCCCTCAGTTCATTCTTTCCAGCGGGTCAGGACCCTGCTGGAATGACTCTCGAAGAGCCCGCTCTGCCCTGCTGACCAGGGACTCCCAGTAGGTAAAGCTGGGGGCCCTGGGTGGCTCCTCCTGTCCGTCTGTCTGCCAGGCCCCTGCAGGGGCCTGCGTGTCCCCGCCCTCCCGTCAGGTGCCACAGAGCCATGTCTGCACAGGGTACCAGCCCAGGCATTGGGGAGCTTCAGCCTTGAGATCCTTTTGGTTTGGTTTTGTTCTTGAGCGTCACGCAGAGATTATTCCAACGGCCACAGACGAGAGATTGCGGGAGGGGCCTACACACAGCAGAGGGCCGGCCGAGACGTCTTCTGAGCAGAGCTCTGGTAGGGATCAGGGCTCAGACGTGAAGGCTCTGAGCAATGTGTGTCAGAGGCTCAGAAGGGTTGCCTCCCTAAAAAAATGTTAATCATGTTAAAATATTTACTCCCCTCTCGGAAACCTCCTCAGCACTTAAAGGCATTTTTTACTGATTTTTTTTAAGAGAAGCAGCACTGCGGGGTTGCAAGAAGACAGACCATTATCACCACCCTCCTCTCTGCTCCCCCAAACTCCCCTCCTGACCGCAGCGTCACTCTTCCACGCTGGCTGGTAGAGCAATTCACTCCCCTCAGGGCAGGGGCAGATCACCATCCCAGGCCTCCACCCAGGGTTTCCTGTCACCAAAGTCGCACTGATGCAAATCCATTTTTCATTAGGAGAAAATAAAACTCACAAGTGACATCAACTGAAAAATGTTCTCTGAGAGCAAGTTATTTCCATCTAAAGCTAAGCACATGACAGCTGGTGACTTTTAATGGAAAGTAAAATTTGCTGGGCTCAATTACTGTCAAACCACTTGAGAATTTGTGTTTTTAATTTTCCTTTTTGGAGAAAGGCAGTGCTTTGGAGTCCAGCAGAGCTGAAGAGGAATGGAAAGGTCTGGTCTTGTCTCTAATTGCAGCCTTAAGAGACCCTGGAAAATGCTCTGTGAAATCATGTCCCAATATCTAGGTATATTAATTTTGTTTACCCTATACTTAAAACTCATTTAATAAGCTGGTCAGAAAGCAAACTCTGTCCCACCATTCATTTGGGCCCTATAGCAAAATAGTTGTGTGTGTACTGGAAACTCTGTCTTTTCCCTGCTTAATGGAAAATGGCTGGTAAGAAGCACCTGGTGGGTGACTGCTACGGATGGGCTGCGCCCCCTTCACGTGCTGGAGCCCTCACCCCCAGTGTGGTGGCATCAGGGGCTGGGGCCTTTGGCAGGTAATTAAGTTTAGATCAGGTTATGAGGCTGGGGCTTCCTTTGCTGGATTAGTGTCCTTATAAGAAGAGGAAGAGAGAAGAGCTGTCTCTCCCCACCAAGCGATGACACAGGGAAAAGACAGCTGTCTGCAAACCAGGAAGAGAGCCCTTTCCAGGACAGAATCTGCCCGTGTCTTGATCTCGGGCTTTCCACCCTCCGGGACTGTGAGAAATAAATGTTCACTGTTTAAGCCACCCAGTCTATAGTGTTTGCTGTAGCCCCACGAGGCTGACCCAGTGTTCAAGAAGGCTAGGTGCTGTTACCAGAGCTCCAGGGGGTGACATCCTCACACCTGAGCATAGTCAGACATGAGAGAGGAAAGGTGTGAGACCAGCTCTTCTGTACAGCCTGTTTCAGGTCATTATGAATTCAGTTTCTCTTTCCTTCCAGAATCTTCTAGCACTTCTAGAATGTGTAACATATTTGTTGTCAACAGAAAGCCTCTCCAGAACTGGGGGACAAGGTCAAAGGGTATCAGGCTTTGAAGGAAAGCTACACGAATCTCCACAACAGAATAGAGACTAAGCACTTACAGGTGCAACCCACCCTCGGGGAGGCTTCGCAGATGCATCGCTGAGAATTTCATGGTTTGTTATTATACATCAAGATTCATGGCCCAAAGTTTATTGGAAGATTAAAGTATATAAAGCAATGACAAAATAAGTCGTTATTGACAAGTTGTCAAATAATAAGCCATGTTATTTGATGAGAATTAAAGGGGACAGGCATGAAGGATCCTGTGAAGAGCCTAGAAAGGGAGAGTTGAAGAGCAGGAGTCCAGGCAGTGCCTCTCCGGGAGCGCCAAGGGAATGGCAGGGAAGGGATTCCAGACTCTGCCACGATCTGGCCACACGCCCCTCAACACCTTTGCTCGGATTCCTGCCTAAGAAGCACTTTTCTAAATGCTAAGTCAGTGTCTGGTACACAGCAGAAAGGACAGCAATCAGAAGGCCGTGTCCCTCGCGTGCGTTAGTTCCCCTGGCGCTCTGGTTTCCCGTCAGTCTACCGCGGGAGTTTGGCTGGCAAGAGTCCCTTCCTTGGGGCCTGGCAAACTTTGTGTGCACAGATTACAGGGGGTTTCTGGAACTTGAAAGTTAAGGGCCAGAGCTGGACTGAGGCACAGATGCCCTTAGAGCCTCAGTCTGATTGTGCGGCCACAGCTGCCTTGGTTCCACGTGCTGATGAATGACTTTCTGCATGTTTGTCTGCCTTACACAGCTCCGTCTCTCCCTGCTGCTCCCTCAGATTGTGGGGTTCTCTGCGGTACACGATGGCCTCTCCTCTGTCATACATTGAGTGTGCAAGCTCCTGACCTCAGGGACACTCAATACATCGAATAACTTTGTAAGTAAAGATATTTGAAAAGGTGATAGGTGAAAATATAATTTACTTATCTTTTTTGGAATCCAACGATAAAAAGCATAGTTAAAACAGAAGCTAAAATGTTCTGTTGATTTTCAGTTTCTGTCTGAACTGACTCTCCACCCCAGCCTACTTTCTTTACAGAAAATTGTTGGGGCTCAGAAAACAGTACCCCAAAATGAAGGCCTCAGAAGCAAAAGTTCTTCTCTGACCTTCTCCTGCCCTCCGCTCTCTCAGTCCCATTCTCCCCCAAGGCTGGCCATCGAGACTAGAATCCCTCTTCCCCCAGGTGGGTCATGGAAACCAGAACCCCTTTGCCCCAGAGCCAGCCATAAAACCTGAAAATACCACTCTAACTTTCCCTCTGTGTAAAAACTGGCCATAAAAAATGATCTGACCCACCTTGTTTACGACGGTAGGCCGTACGACCCCCATTCCAGAGAGAGTCCTTCCTTCCTGGTCCATATCCAGAAGGAAGGATGCCGCTTGGAGAGGCTGAGAAGAATCTAGACAGACAGGCCTTGCTGGTTTCCGCGCTCAGTTGATTAGCATCAGATTATGTCCTTTTTGTCCAATCATATTTCTGTCTGCATGGCTCTCCCTACTCCGTTGCACGTAAGCATAAAAATAGACAATTTCCCCTGTACCTTTGGGTCTTCGTTCTGAAGGCTCCTGTGTATACACATTAAATAAATTTGTGTACCTTTTCTCCAATTAATCTGTCTTTTGCAAGTTGGTTTTTCAGTGAACCTTCAGCAGGCCAAGGGGCACTTTCCCCGTGGCCCCTACACGAGCAAGAAATCCCATTCGCCACACCTTTCTGACTCTGTCCTCTGCTTGCCATTAAATACGGTGCTATTTGAGAGCTGATTAGAGCTTGCGGCATTTAAATTTATTCCCAATTATATTGTTGTAGGTAATCATTATAGCCAGTCACCATTATGAACTACAAACCTCTCAGTCGTCCCGTAACAGCAAAGCTGCAGAACTTGAGCGTCCTAGCGACAGTCGTGGCAGCGACGACTGGGGAAGGGAAGGATGCGGGGAGAACGGGCCTTCGGCGGCGCACGAGGAGCGGGAGTTTGGCGACGGCCTCTGACCGAGGCGCTGCGTCCTCGCGCACAGCGATGCGGCGGCGGCTCCTGTCCGCGGGACGGCGCGAGGCGCCACAGCACGGCACGTGCCAAGCTCTGGAGCTGCCAGGACGCGGCCGGTACGGGAGGGTCCACGGGCACCAGATCCCTCCCCGGGCTCCGCGACAGCTTGGCTCCTACACACGAAGCGGGGAGAAAGTCTATTCGCAACGGCGCCGTAAAACAAGGAACGGAGAAGCCGTGTCCGCCGTCAGAACGGACGGCTCGGGCCCTTTCGTTGGAGTCGCCTGCGTCCAGCGCGTCTGACGGGGACCCAGGCCCAGGCCGCACCGCGGACTCGCTCGGTCCCCCCTTGGCTGTCTGCCGGCGTCGGCCGTTAACGGGGAAAGGGCAGAGCAGCCGCTCCGCCAGGGGGCGCGGGCCTGAGAGACAGCGGCGCTCCTGCCCCTGCTCGCCGGCCTCGCTCCCCTGGAGCAGAACCACTTCCGGCCAGGTTTCCCAGCTTCCGCTCTGCAACTCTTCGTCCTGCCAATCAAAGTCCTGAGCAATTAGGCTCACACCCGCTTTTCCGCCTCTGTGTGCTGCCCTCGCTGTTCGCCTCCAGCGCTTTTCCTGTGGCCCCAAGTCGCGCCCGCCGTGGATCTCCCTCCCCACAGCCTCCCCTGACCTCTCCAGGCCGCGGTGCTGCTTCTGAGCGTGCAGAACTTTCCTGGCCTAGCATGGGCATCCAGCACGTTTTAGCAATTTGGGATTGTTGTGCCAACCGCTCTGTGTTTGCGTTCGTAGTGAGGCTGTAAAACTCCGGGACCAGATGCGGCACAGCCCACGGCCCTTGGGAAGGCCCTGCCCCGGCACAGACACTGGAAAAAAAAAGAGGTTACATTTGCGTGTTGACAGCACAGGAATTCTTCCAGCTAGAAACTGTCATTAGCAAGAATAATTAAAACAAAGCTGCTGGGTTGTTCTTTGGGTTTCATAATAAATCACAAAGTTATCTGCAGAGCTTTCGTGCTGCTAGTTCTGGGCACTGAAATTGCAAATTATAGCTCTGAAAGCCAGTGTCCACCAGGGTTGAGAGCCAGACCAGAGTTTGAATCCCGGCTCCAACTCCTTGCTGGGTAACCGTAGGCAAATTCCTAAACCTCGCTGAATTTTCTTGATGTAATTCAAGAAGAATTATCCCTACCTTATAGGTCGTCCTAAGGAATAAGTGAGGAACTGTACATAAGGTGAATACGATAAAAACCAAGTCATCAACGACTATATGATGAATTAAACCGGGAATTTAGAATGGTGTCTGTAGGGACCTGGGGAGGAGACACAAGGCAGCGGGCGAACAGGAGACCAACTGCTCACACCTTTGTGTAAGGTGAGTTTGGGTTCCAGGCACAGGAACAGGGTGATGGGGAGGCAGTCGCCACCAGACAGGAAGTGCGTCGCTTCTTCCCGGTGACCCCAGGGGACCCTCGCTGGTCTGGCTCCGCTGCTGGGTAACGCCAGGCACTGGCGCTCCGGTGCCCGCGTTGGCTGTGAGGGCCTGGGTGGGGGCCGCCTCCTCTTGCCCAGAACCCGGGAGTTCAGCACACGCTGGTTTTTACTGGACGTTACCAAGTACGGACTTGCCAAGGAGAAAAGCAGCAGGACTTCTTTCTGGACCGACTTGCTAACCAGCACACGGATAATTAAGATGTCGCAAGGCAGCCACGGGCAGCAGTTCAAGGAGCTGCTCTTCGTAAGCTCTGCAGGGAGGCTCAGGGGTCACATTTTTGACAGCTATCCCATAGCTCAGGGCAGATGGAAGAACAACAAGTACAAAGACCTTGATTTGAGCGAGACTTTTGGCTTGTTTGGCAGCTGTTTACTGGACACCATAGTAGCGTGCCCTGCCCAGCCAGGAACGGAGGGTGGAAATATTTGAGAGTAAAAGCCTAATTATTTTAAGACACATCAAAACAAAAGCAAAGAGGGACACAATCTGGCTTTAACGGAGCACGAGAACCCGGCGTCTCTGAAGAGCTCGGGGGGCGCTGTCAGCAGACGCAGGACGGGCCCGGGAGCAGCGCGAGCGGTCGCCGCCAGGGCCTGCGGCGGGACAGCGACCCCGCGGGGCGGGGAGGCCGGGCCAGCCTCGCCCTGGACTCAGAACCGCAGGGCCTGGGGCTGGTTTGCCGAAGTGAGGGACAGGGCGCCCCCTGTGTGCCAGGGCTGCTCCCGGGGACTCGGGGCGGAGGCAGCTCCGGGCAGGCCCAGCCCGAGGAGGGAGGGACACAGCCGGCGCGCCCGGGCTGGGCGCGGGGGTTTCGTCTTCCGGTCCCCTTCCTCTCCTCTTTAGTAATAACAATAAAAAACAAAACAAGACATAGATGCTTCTCTCCCTGAATTTGAGACTGAGGGAGAGAAACATGGTTAACATCGCCTGGTTATAGTTTCAAAAATTAACAAATCGGGGCACACGAGCAGAAATTTTGTGAGCGATCGCCCTGTCGAAGTACTTTCTGCAACTGTGCTGCTCCTTACGCGCACACGCAGAGTTCTTAAAGGTGGCCTGCTTTTTTCCTTTCTTCTTTCTCTTTTTTCCCTTTTCTCTCTCCCTTCCTTTTCTCCTTTCTCTCCTGTTTCCTTTTTCTCTTCATTTTACTCCCTTTCCTTCTCTCATTTTTCTCTTTTCCCTTTGTTACGAGGCCCAGAGCTACGGCTCTCCCAGGGTTGCGTGAATTCGGCAGCGCGAGCCGGCACTGCGGACCCGGGTTCTTTCCGTCCTTGCCCTGTCGCCCGCGGGGCCCGCTCCGCTCCCAGGCGGGTGAGGAAATGCCAGTCGGAGGACGGCAGGGAGTGGTGGGGCCGGGGTGGACTGGGGGGGAGTGGCCCCACCTAGGTATCCAAATACAGAACAGCTTTGCCCCTGTCGCTTCGCAACGTCGTGCTGTTGCTAGAGGGGAGGACAGGGGGTCGCAGACGCTCTGCGGCAGCGTCCTCCACGCGGAGCCATGTTGTTGCGAGCAGTTACTGCGGTCGCTCCGCAGCAGCCAGAGGAGGCCCCGTGACCCGCCTCCAGCCAAGGCGGGCGAGCTCCCGAGCCCGGACGCCCAGGACCGGCTGCGGCCCGGCTGCCAGCTCGGCTCCTCGGCGCGGCCGCTCGCGGCTCGGGCGGATCCCCCGATGCTTCCCTTGCTGACCCGATCTGGTTCCCGCGGTTCTCCAAGCGCGGTCCTCGGGCCGGCAGCACCGGCTTCGCTCGGGGCCTCGGTAGAAGAGTGAATTCTTAGCCCAGACCGACTGAATCGGAACTGGGCGGGGTGGGCCGCGATGCGTCTTAACAAGCCCTCGAGGGACGCTGGGCCTCTAGGTCTGGAAGCCGCTGTCCTTGACCCTCCGCAGCGCTCGCGCACCGAGCTAAGCTCCGGCTCCCAGCCCGGGCCGGTGTCCCAGTCACCTGCGGAGCTTTCAGAGCGTCGCCGATGCTGGATCCCTCCCCGGCCGCCCAGCCACAATCCTGGCATAGCTGGTCTGGTGCGCTGCCCGGGCCTTGGGATTTTTAACAACGCCCAGGTGACTCTAAATTGTAGCCAGACTTGAGAACCACTGATCTAAACGAAACGTGAAGGGAGACGATTGTGCTGTAAATGAAAGATTAAGCAGGAATCCAACAGTGAGACGCGCATACTGACAAAGAATGGGGAGAAAAACGCTAACGTGAAGGATTAAACTCTAAAAACAGAAGCATAAGGAAAGAGATTATTTGGGTTAGACGCTACTGGAGCTCTCTCACCCCCGAGATTTAAATAAGGCTGGAAAGCTCATGACCTCCTCAGGGACAGGAATACCTTGCTGGCTTCTAAATTGCTGTAGGTTAGTGTTCCTTGAAAAACCCTCTTATTGCTTGAAAACATCCATAGCTCACTATGTCACGAAACACTTCCATTACTTGATGTGTTTTCTTTTTTTTTTTTTGAGACAGAGTCTCACTGTCTTGCCCGGGCTAGAGTGCCGTGGTGTCATCCTAGCTCATAGCAACCTCACACTCCTGGGCTCAAGCGATCCTCCTGCCTCAGCCTCCCG